TATATCATCCTTGATATTATGGCCAAGAGGTATTATTCAGTTAGCATTCCAAAATTAGTGCCAAGAGTTCATCAAAAAAGTCATGTTAGTAAGTGACGGCCCCTGAACGTATTGCCACAAGACACTTAAATAGTCACTTGAAAAGATGATGGTATTCTTCAACCATAGGAAAAAGAATTTAAACAGTCTTCTTATTGTGGTACCCATCAAGATATAAACATTCTCAATATAGTGTGATTTAAATTTACTTGATAAAGTTTTACAATATGCTGCAAGCCAACTCCTCTTTTCAAGATTGTGCTTAAGTCGTTCAATATCTAAAATTCTCCACAAATGTTGCCTCATATCTTGGTGAAGTTCAGCATTCTCCACAAATGCGTGCACCAAATCCAGTCTTAACTTCATTTCATATATATATATATATATATATTATATTAATTTTAAAATATATATAAATACTAAAATACTTTTATAAAATCTTGAAAGAGAATATCTCATCTAAAAGTAAACCAAACAAACCCCCCAAAGGTGATTGTAACAATCTGTAGATAGAATGGGGTTGGCGGTTAAGTGATTGGCGGGCTTTGGCCCATGAGGAGACTCGTACGAAAAGTCTATATTTGTCATTGTTGGGCCAGGCCCATTGGGCTAATCATTACGGCAGTTAGGTGACGGTAGAGGGTGAATACGTACAGAGACATTGTGCATCAGGTTTTGATATTTGATAGTTATTTAGGTATTAAAAATTTATTTATATAAAATTTTCAGTTGAAGTTGCGACGCCGTTTTTTCTGAGAAGCAAGGGTATATGAGACATTTTCAATCAGATGATTTTTTTTTGGGTACACTAAGAAATTAGTTACTTAACAATATAAGTATTTGAATCCTAATCTTTACCTCAAATCATAAATTTGAAATTAATAAATATTAATTTGACCAAATTTGATAATAACATTTAATAAGGATTGTTTGGACACATTCATTATAAATTTCATTAGAGCTTTTTAACTTACATGATGCATGATTAGAAAGTTTGACATTTCCTTCCTTAAATAAGTTAGTTGAAATCTTCGTGAATAAAAGGATAGGAGAGAGGACTAGAATTCAAACTTTCGTCGTTTAGGTAAAGAAATATCATTTTATCAAAAATTTAATCAACTATTTTAAAAATCTTTCTTAGAAGTTCTACATAATTAAAGGCAAAGTGAAGCGGTACAAAACCACTAAAAACAAATTTACCCAAAGAACAAAAAGAAGAATAGAAAATAAGGAAAACAGGGAAATTTGCTTTTTGAGGAAATTATAAAGCAAACCACAAAACTAACCATGACATTTTTAGGGTTTGTGCTCTCATTATCATTTATCACTCACTTCATTATGCTCCATATACATCAATTTTCTTTATGGCTTTTTTTTTTCTTGATAGTTATCTCAGCTTGAAAGCAACCTCAGAGCAAACCCACTTCCCCATTTCGTGTGGTCCTCCTAATTTTATCAGTCCAAAGAGGGTCAGCCTCAGTACCAGGCTTGGGAGGTGAAATTTTGGGCAGGGAGAAAAAAACGGCAGGCATATATGGAAAGAAGATGCGACAGAGTATGAACAGGGAGGAGGTTCTTTTTCTTTCTTTCTTTCTTTCTTTCTTCCTTTTTTTTTTTTTTTTGTTTTTTTATTTTTTTGGATGTAGTAACAGGAGGAGGAGGGAAGAGGTTGATTAATTGGCTAGGGTTTTTGATGTTTGTAACTGACATAGTACAATGAAAAAGCATCCTTTTCTTGACAGTTTGTGCTTGTGCATGTTCTGTCTTCTGGACACAAGGGCTTTTCACCAAATGAAAAGGCAAACAGATAAGCACGCATGGGAGTGGGGAAAGAAAGTAACAAAAATATTCCACACAGAATTGATGGGGTGTTGAGACTTGAGAGAGAGAGAGATTAGGTTTTTCTCTTTTTGGGGAGAGCGACTTAGACATAACCGGTCAAAGATGCATTGCTTCTCTCGTGGGTCATGATACACCGTACCTTGTTGCCCTTGGGAGTGAAACAATAATTGTCCTTTGGTGGCATTGGAAAATGCCACGTGCAGATTAATTTTATCTTGTGTTTGGTGGAGGAATTTTGAAATAGGTGGGTAGAAGTCGTATCTTTTTGGTCCTTGAGGATTGTTACTCGAGGTGAAGGATTCCGGTTTAAATTTTAAAAAGGATAAGTAGAGAATAATAGTAAATTAAGAGATATAATGGAAAATTTTTTTTATTTAGTTATTAAAATAATTAGAGAGGGAGAGCAGAGGAAACATGAAGTCCTTTGCTTTATTTATTTTCATTTTTTTCTTTTTTTTTCTCTGACATTCTTTAAAGGTTTAACATAAATATATTATAAGAAAAAGAATGATTATTTTTTATTTTATAATATATTATTTGATATTTTTATAAATTATTTAATTTAATTTTATTATTATTAATAATTTAAAAATTACTAACTATTAATTACTATAATTTCAAATTATTGTACTAAAAACCATTTTATCGGCATCCAGCTTGTTCTTAATATTACCCACGCAGAGTCTCTTACACGCACCAGCCCTGTCAAGGTCAATTGGTTCACCCCTCAAAACCTAATAATTTGAGGACAGCAGATCGGAAGTTTTCCCACCTAGAACTTGTGAGAAGACCCCTTCCCCAGATGTTCCCCCCATGCTAAAAGCACAATCTCCTTCATATCTTTTTATATTTATATATATTATAGTTTTTTTTTAAAAAAATATAAATATTAATTTTAATTAATTAATTGATCAATTTAAAATTATTTATGTAACAATAATATTAAATTAAATATTAAATATTACATTTTGAGTATAAGTAAGGTACATCCATGTGTGTATATTATATATATATATATATATATATTTTTTTTTGGATAGGGTGCATGACATAGAACTTATTCAAACCACCAGACCACCTCTTTAATTAGCTGGAACAAGCCACCCAGCTAACTAATAAGGTACGTACAATTTAATATTACCATCAAAACTTTGTACATTCAAAAATGGCTAAAGAGAAAAGCAACTGCTTTCGTTTGGTATATGGTTGAAAATAAAAAAAATTTGTTCACTGCATATTTATTTATAATATATTAGAAAAAAGATTAATACACATTCAATTTAACATATTTTTTTATATTTGTTTCAATTTAGTTATTAAAATATAATATAAGTATAATTAATTTGTGCACATTATATGCAAAACTATATTTTTAAGTTTTTTATGCCTTCAATTTCAAATTAAAAAATATTAATTTTTTAATAAATATGTTACGTAATGTGTTAAACTGAAGTATGTACCAATCAGTGTCCAATATATTATTATGATGAGTTAAGATTCATACACATACAAATTTTACACATATTACTTATATAAAATCTCAAACATTCAT